CTTGAGCCCACCCATGAATTTTGATGGGGGGGCTCAGCCCACCCATCAATTTCAAAAAATTATATGGGCTAATATCTCTAAAAAAATGAGACCACTGGCTGCCTATCTAAAAAAAAAAAACGAGCCCACCCATCAAAAATTTGGTTCCGACGCCACTGAAAATGTCTATTACAGAATATCTGATAATATTTCCCGCGCTTATTTTACTAAAACGCAATTTGCTCTTTGTGACTCATAAATGCGTGTGTCATTTGAAAACACGTGGTCGCTGCATTTTCAGTGGTTCTCAAACAGTTTTAATCCGAAATTATTTAAAAAAGTAACTTGTGGTGCAGAGCATCGTGCCTTAAGGCAAATTGCTGGAACTTCCTGTATCGTAATGAAATATTGGAAAATATTGAATGGTTTCCAATATATTATTATAAAAGCTGTAACTTTCATTATTCGTATTTTATAGACGAAATATAAGAAATTGAACGATTGTGATTATATATGTTTATATGAAAAGTGAATAAACAAAACTTAATCAAGCGGATTCCTTGTTAATATATATATTATATATCATTTTATATTATCAATATGAATAATTTATGAAAGCGTTAAAATGAGATTGTAAAATGTAATTGACTCTACTTTTACCTTAAAAAATAATTACTTCATATCATAGTCTAGAATCTTGCTATGCAAATGTACAGATTTATTGACATGCCACATTGCATTTATTATTATCAAACATTATGACTATTCTGTCAAAATTTATATCTTTCCTTTCTATAACTTATTTAGTTACAAACTTTTGATGAAAACCTTTTCGATAACATTTTACTACTAAGCAAACCAGTTTCTCTATTTTCTGCGCTTACAACAATAGTACCTGAAAATAAATAAGAATGCGTTTTAAATGCAGAAGGAAATAATTGCTAAGGATTGCTATTGAATGAAATTCAAAATTAAATAAATTCAATGAAAATAATAATCAATAAAGATGGATCAAAGATTTACAATTATTATTTAAAATAGAATCATTAATCCTAAATTATTTTTACGTATGTAAATTATTTTTGTGCTAAATTAGGTACTGAAATGAAATGGCTAGTTTTGCAATTTGTATAATAATCATGTTTATAAATTTTAATTCTCAAATATAAATATTTTTTTCAAAAGAGTACACACAAAACCTAGAAATGAAATTAGCTTACTAGTTTACCTGTTCACCTGTCTACTTGTCTACCTGTTTATTTGTCAATATATCTGGATATCTATCTGTTAACCTGATTACCTGTTTATCTGATTATTTTTTTATCTACATATGTAACTGTCTACCTGATTGTCTGACCAAATGTCTACTAGTTTACCTGTTTACTAGTTTACCTGTCCAATAGGTAGTTGTCATTTCAAATAAAATGTTCTTTGATTCAATCAAATCGTATGCTTTGTTTTCTAAAAAACTGCCATTTTAGCACATTTAGCTCGGTATCTCCGGAACGACTGGACCTGCCTTTGCCAAAAAGTAGTCACAGCGTCTCCCCATCATTACGAATTGAATTTTTATTTTTTGGTTAATTCAAATCGGTTGCTCTGTTTCTCGAAATCTTAATTTCTATTTTCTGTACTCTTTGCTACTTAACTCCAAAACGGCTGGATCTGTCTGTTTTAAAAAGCGATTAGAGCACGTCTTAACATCAATATAGTCTTATGGTTTTTGAATAACTCAAATCGGTTGATCCGTGCGCTCCAAATCGTGGACGAAAAATTGTATCCACGCAGAACACACACTCAATTTTTTCTGTAAGGTATGCTAAGATATTCAGAAACTTCTGGAATGTTAAGATATGCAAAAAAATATTTTTGGGCGACTACTATGACTTACTCTATGAGAAGTTGAAAATATTTTTTTATGAATTGAATGATTTTTTCAAAGTTTATTTTTTATATCAGACTATAGAGTCAAGTTATTTTATAATTTATGTTAATAATCAGAGTACAATTAAAAGGTTTTTGCAAATGTTTTCATTAACGGAAATTCTGGCAATATATTGTCAAAATCGTATGTAACTAAATTCACATGTATTCAAATATTTTTCAAAAAATTTTCTTTACACAAAAATGCACAAACATTGTTATTTATGATCAAATTAGATTTAAAACTTGCGTTCATTTGTTCATATCTGCTTTATGTGTTATGTTATTGTTATATCCTTGCATTATTAGAAGGCTACTCATATCAGTGTTTGTTTCTCATATAAACATTAGTTCGACTTTATGCCTATTTTGCAATTAATTGTTGCACTTAAAATAACAGGTGCGAGAAGTCGCACTAATGTTATATTTTGACTTTTGTACCATTTGGAGGTTAGGTTTCACATTACATTTGAGATTGTATAAAACATTACATATTACATTTACATATCACATACATTGTGACTTCATACCATTTTGGATTTCATACTCATTTTGACTTCTGTACCATTTGGAGGTTAGGCTTCGGCATTTGAGATTGTATAAAACGCTCATATATACGCCAAAAGCATAGCTATTTGACAGTATCGTAACTACCAACTAATTGGAACATTAATGTAACATGACTATTTTATCCGAGAACTGACTCATTAGAGACTTGGTATTGTTGGTCGGATGCATTAACAATTTTTTTTTTTTCAATCAAATTTTTAAAAGACTTTTTGGAAAACATGATTTTCGCTTTTTTGTAGTTAAATCATTAAAAAAAAATCCAACATAAAACGCCATTAACAAAAAAAGATGTAGTATGCAAAATCAACTGTTTGGATTGTGATTCTTTATAGGTTGGCCAGACGTGCCAAAATTTGCAATACGGAAAAATGATTTACAATACAAAAAATTTAAAAAATACATTTATTGACCATGCCAACATTAATAACCTTAACATTAATAATTATGCATTAGAATCACTTTAATACTGATTGCTTTTTATTTGATGAAGTAAAAACCGATGTCACTAAGTATGGCAGAGTATGTGTTAATTGTTTGCACCAAGAACACTGTACCTTTGAAAACCGATACAAATATTTTCATAATTCATATAAAAATCTTTTCAATAATTTATAACGTTCTTCGACTCTTATTTATAATATACTTAATTTCTTTGTTTTAATTTATTACTTCTCATATTTGTTTATATTGTGGGGCAAAGCCCTTTCTCCAGTGTTTACATTATAAACTTATCGATTCCTGGTGTTAGTACTTAAGATTTTCATAAATTCTTACACGTGTGTATAATTTAGTACGGTATCAAGATTTGTGACAAAAAGTTGTTTGATTAGATTATTGTCATGTATAATTAAACATATTTGCTATAATTAATACATAATTTATAAAAATTATTAATTATTTTTTGCTATTAATTTTTAATTGAATAATTGATTTTGAGACAAATGGCGCTCTTGAAATGTTTTTTTTTTATTCAACAATATATTTACAACTGTTCTACGTAGACACTCTTGAAAAGTTAGTGCAAAAATAGAGTGAATTCTTTCTACTCTTTTATATAATATACATAGGGTGTACCAGAACTCAACGTCAAGCCAAGAGAAGCGATTGTAACATTGTAAAAATTATTTCATGCAGTTTGAAAGAGTTTTTTTGCACAACCTGGGGCTTTGGTCGCTTTGGTGACCACTTTTTGGTTATTGTGGTTAATTTTCATCATTTTTGTTCGTTTAAGCTGTAGAACCGTAAATAACATTTCTAGGGTCAGAATTAAAAATAATAACAAAATTGCCTTCAGTTTTTGAGATTTAAGACTATTTGTTGGAACTATGAATTTTGAAATTTTCAAAATTGATCGACTTTGAAGGACCTCTTCTTTTTAAAAAAAATATACTAATGTGCCTTGGCAAATTTGATCAAAAGTTTTCGTATTTAATGGACTGCAAAATGGTAAAATACTTTGTTTGTTTTATATATATATATATATATATATATATATATATACATTATTTTCATATCTCAGTCAGATATAGGTGCCTGGTATGAGAGATTATGAAAACAGTTTTCATATTTTATATATACATCTCATTTGACTATTTTATTAATACAATATCTATTATAATTAAATTATCTTTATATAATTCTTCAGACTTCTTTGTCTTCAATTTCCTTTTAATATTTCGAACAAACAACATTTTTATACAAAAAAAAACGAGTAAAAAATAAAAACCTAAAAATAACAAAAAAATTGCTATCTGATTTCACTCACAATCCTGATGGTAAATATAATTTGAATATTTTTATTATTGGCACGTTTTTGCAGCAAGTTTTTTTTTATTAAATTTAAATTCAATTCAATTTTTCACCAAATAATGAAAAATGCAATTTATTTATTGTAGATCAATTACTCTATTATTTACTATTTTTTATAAACAAATAGGAAATGTTCTATTGAATTGTTCTAGATAATCTTGAATTTTTTAGTTCCAATCACAAGAATGGAAGCCGTTAAAATATATCTTTTGCTTAAATATTTCAAATTATTTATTCACTATCTCTACGAGGAAATGAATAGTGCTTTTGTCAATGAAGATTGTAGTTTATGTCAATTTTTTTCCATTTATTTTTTTCTAATTTATCAATAATGTTTTGAATTCGTCACTCTATTTATGAAATTTTGTTTAAGAAATTCGCTCGCGATTATTTTAAATAAACAATCTAAATCTACAAACTAATTGTTCAATAATAGAGATAAGGTTTGTTTATAGTGCACTTTAAAACAAACCGATATAGATTTATAATGGAAACTATGTGTTTGATTGTAGAATCACCAACGATTGTTTATAATAATTTTTTTTATAAAAGACCAAAGTTTCTTTGTGAAATTCAGTTTTTATTTGACACTCGAGTAGTCAGTTAGTAGGAAAATTATCAAGAAAATTGTAGGTCTGTTCATTCAGATTTTGATTTTTGTTTTAGTTAATTAAAAAATTGCTTCAAAATGTAATACTAATTAATTTTTATTTTTATAGGTTCTCGTACTTAATGGAATAACATCTGTAAAAAAAGAAATATTTAATTATTGTATGGAACAACTAAGAACTGTGCCAACTGTTACATTGCAGAAATTAGAAGTTCAGGATTTAAGGTAAGCTTTAAATTTTTTTAAAATTTAATGAAAAACGAAACTAGTGGGGTGTATAGCATCGTGCCTTAAGGCAAATTGCTGGAACTTCCCGTACCGTAACGAAATGTTCGAGGAATATTGAATGTTTTCAAATAGATAAATATTATATTATAAATATGTATAATAGATATTATAAATAAATAATGTAACATTGTCTAATATTTAAAATAATTATATAAACTGAATTGCAAAGTTGAAATTATTTGTTCAAAGTATATATTAGAACTTTAGTTAGAATTAAAAATAAAATCTGAATTATGTTGATATACAAAAAAAAATTTTTAAAATAAAAATTTTGAAACATATTTTTTTTTCTAAAATCATTATTTTGTTGTAACAAGCAGAAAGTTCTTTGAATTATTCAAATCGGACGCTTAGTACTCTCAAAAACTGGCATTTTTTGCACATTTAACTTTGTATCTTCGAAATGGCTGGACTTGCCTTTGCCAAAAATAATCACCTCTTCTCCCAATCATCACAAGTTGATTGTTTCTAGATCATTCAAATCGGATACTCCATTCTCTCAAAAACTCGATTCACCGTATTTTCTGCTTTCTTTGCTCTTAATCTCCGTAACTGCTGGACCTGCCTTTGCCAAAAACTAATCAGCACATCTCCCTATCAATAGAAATCGAATGTTTTTTGAACCATTCAAATCGGCTGATCCGTGCGCCGAAACGTGAACGAAAAATTGTATCCATACATACATACATACATGCGCACACATCCATTTTTTCTGAGGTATACCAAAATGTTCAGAAACCTTCAAAACGTGAAGAAATTTAAAAATTTTCAATTTCGATTTTTGGACGAACTGCCATTTTTTGCACATTCAGCTCTGTATCTTCGAAATGGCTGGACTTGCCTCTGCCAAAATCTTATCACCTCTTCTCCCAATCATTACAAATTGAATGTTTTTAGATCATTCAAATCGGATACTCCATTCTCTCAAAAACTCGATTTGTATTTTCTGCACTCTTTGCTCTTTATCTTCGTAACGGCTGGACCTGCCTTTGCCAAAAACTAATCAGCACATCTCCCTATCAATGGGAATCGAATGTTCTTTGAACCATTCAAATCGGTTGATCCGTGCGCCCGAAAACGTGGACGAAAAATGCGGACATACAAAACACACACACACACATCCATTTTTTCTGAGGTATGCCAAAATGTTCAGAAACCTTCAAAACGTCAAGAAATGCAAAAAAATTCAATTTAGATTTTTGGCCCATTACTATAACTACCCTACAGGAAGTTAATTATATTTTGTATACAAAGAAGTAATATATTTTTGGATTGAAATTATTATTGTCGTTAAATTAATCCCATTAAAATTGTTTCTAAATTAAAAGCTTAAGAGCTTTTTAAGAATCAGAACCAAAAGGTATATTACTAAAGCAATGCTATTAAAGGCCCAGTATATTTTCAAGTTTAATAAAGTATTTATTGTCTATCGACAATTATAAACAAAATTGTGTAAAATATGCCATGATATGTGTACACATTCTTGAAATATCAAAAATTTAAATTCAATTAACTCAAAAATGCTTATATCTTTGAAAAAAAAAATAACAAGAGCCGGAAACGGAGCATATAGAACAAATAAATTGTATATAACAAATAAAAATTTAATCAAACATTGATAATACAATATTGGGTTATTCGGAAATTTTGCAACAATAAGTGTAAAAAAATTAATAAAATTTTGTCACAATATATGGGCTATTGTACTCAGTTAATAATAGTCTGTTAAGGGTTTATATAGTTTCCACACTCGTCTGGGTTTTTTCAATAGAACTTTACTTTCAAAAATTTGGGAAAAATGTACAGGTATAAATTCAGACTTTATCTATAGTGTTCGTTAACCTAATAAAACAGTCATAAACGAACAAATTATAATATAACATATAACAATTACATTTTAATATATAAGAGTACACACACCATAGAAAAATTTTGTAGAAAGCTTTTGCCGCACTGATTAGTAAAGATGTATTTTTTTAGTAAATAAATATAGAAATTATGTATAATAAATATGTAGTTTTTGATTAATGAGCGTATAAAATACAGTATAAAATGTTAAACATATAAAATTGAAAATAATATTCTGATAATAATGAAATCTTCAAAAGCTCTCGAACACATTCTCGAAAACTTTAATTTTTAAGTTTTAAGTCTTAATTATTCATAGAAAACAAGAACATTTAGCACAGTGGCGGATTTTTTTTTTTAATATTATATGAAATATTATTAATTTGTAGAATTAAATTGGTTTGCAAAGACCACTACTTTTGGTCAAAATTTTTTCAAAAACGGCTGAACCGATTTTAAAAATTTAAAATCTATATCTTCGTCAAGCTTTGAACACGTTTAGTCTTAATTATGTATAGAAACACAAAAACCTTTTGTGAAGTTGCGGATTTTTTTAAATATTATATGAAATATTATTAATTTGTAGAATTGAATTAGTTTACAAGATAACTACTTTTGGTCGAAATTTTCTCAAGAACGCCTGAACCGATTTTAAAAATTTCAAATCTGAATTTTGGTCAAGCTTTGGTCGTAACTAATTATTAAAATTTTGTGGTCTATTCTATTTTCATTATTATATAAATTTCTAACTGTACAAAAGTTTAGTATTTCACATCCACAGTAAAAATACATGATAAGCTGATACATTTAATAATTGAATTTAAATTAGTATTATAATTTAATTAGTTTAATTAACAAGATTTAAACTAATAATTAATGCCTAATCTACATATTTTTTTATTAACTTTCCGAAGAAGTTTGTTTCGCAAAAAATCTGATTTGCTAATTTTATGTTTTCTCGACGTTTCAAGTCATTTTGAATCAAATGGGAGCACATTTGGAAAAAGTATGTGTGTGTATATGTGGACCGGTTTCGACGAAGTTTTCTCAAAAAATGGCTGAACCGATTTTAAAAAATTAAAAGCCATTCGATATAACTCGATAATGATTAGCGACGATTAGTTTTGCGCGAAGATCGGATGAGCCATTTCTTTGTAATTAAAAAAAATCTTCCATGTTTTAGCTCACAATGTTGAGTCGCTTTTAAAAATTCAAAGATTTTGTATTACACTATATTTAAAGATATTGAAATACTGTTCGAAAGATATTGGTTGGGAAATGCGTTGATTAGTTTTTGGCAAAGATCGACCGAGCCATTTCTTCGATTTTGATGAAACTTTGTATGACTATAGATTTCATAATCTGAAATAACATACTGAAATATTGTAGGTTTACGATAAACTGTTATAAAATTATAAACAGTGGAATTGCGTTGGTTAGTTTTTTTTTATAAAGATCTGTCGAGCCATATCTTCATAATTATATGATTTTTTTTTTAATTTATATAATTTGACGATTTTGTTAAAACTTCGTATGATTATAGATTTTATGGTGTGAAATAGCAAAGCGCTTAGGCGATTCTAATCAAAATCTATGTAGCAGCATAGAACATTCTAGGTTTTGAATGTAACTATTGATTACAGTTGACGTCCATTTATACAATTATAGAATCATATAAATGTTCGAAAGGCATCAATTAGAATTGCATACATTAAATGTTAGTGAAAGCAAAAATTGTATTTACTAGTTGAATATTTACCTAAATAGTAAAATTATGTGTACGTATCGATAAGTTATTGGAACTTGCCTTAAAGCAAAATGCTACTTACAACTAGTTTAATCACAATCGACCCATATTAGGGAGCGCCCATTAATCACGTGAGGAATCGTTCAAGTATTACGTAAGCAGATTTATTACAATTAATTAACCCCCCATCCCCCTTGTCAGCAAAAGTAAGCAAAGCTCTTACCCTCCTACCCCAATGCTTACGTAAACATTTTGCAATTAATGTAAAAAAATAAAAATACTACCTATGACGTAATCATCATCCAGACTCCCCTGCCCCCCATGTCAACCCAAAATAAGCAAATCAACAACCCCCCGTCCCCCTATAGTGCTTACGTAATACTTGAGGATTTTAGGGGGGGTTTGACAAAAAATCACGAGCTATCATGTGGGGGAAGGAGGGGTATAGTAAGACACGTATATTTATTTTTTACCGGAATTTTTTAAAATAATTTTCAAAAAAAAAAATTACAATTTTTTTTCGTAACTAAAAATACGCGTAAGGGGTAATTTTGAATATCACGAAGGGGTAGAGGGAATCCAAAAAAACCAAAAAAATCGATCACGTGAATAATGGACGCTCCCTTACTTATATAACTTATATATATCTTTTATAATCGACGCATTATTTTAGTTTAGATAGGAAGTAAAAAGAGTCATTACATTAACTTTCTTAGAAGCTTATCTCGATTAGTCGCGAACTTAATCTCATTCGTGTAATTGAATGGCGGCAAATAACGGGCGCTCATTGGTTGACGCGCGATATTTTCGAAATTTTATACTAAGGGCTTCGCGAGGTTCTCATGGGACCTCAAGCAGTTTATCGGTAGAGGTTGAGGTGTAAAGGTGTGAAGTGAAGTGACCGCGAAAATTCAAATATATGTTGTTAATAAGAATTATAATTTTGATTTTGGATTTTGAAATTATGTATATAAAAATGAAATTATATATAATTAATTGTTGTGGTGTTTAATATTTGTTGTTGGTACTTTAAATTCAATGAAAATAATTGTGAGTGTGCTTACAAACTTAATAAAAAATAACACTGTGACTTTTTGGATACTGATGTCTAAGGAATTTCAGAGATGTGAGTTTACTATTATGTATTTTATTAGTTCATAGTCAAGAGATTTCTATTACTAAATCTTTTCTGATGTAAATTCAACCAATTTTGTACAGTTTCTAGATTTTATTAACTTCCCGTAGGGCAAGTTATAGTAATCGCAAAAAAATCGAAAATGAATTTTTTTATATATCTTTACGTTTCAAAACCTTCTGAACATTTTATCATACCTTAGAAAAACTGGATGTATGTGTGTGTGTGCGTGTATGTGTGTGTGTGAGGATACAAATTTTCGTCGACGATTTCAGGAACACGGATGAAGCTATTTGAATAATTTAAAAAATATTCGATTCGTATTGATAAGGAGACGTGCTGATTAGTTTTTGGCGAAGGCAGGCCTAGCCGTTCCAAAGATACGGGGAAAAAAGTGCCAAAAACGGTAACTCAGTTTTTAAGAGAACGGAGCGTCCGATTTGAATAATTCAGAAAACATTTTACTTGTATTAACAAGATCAAGAACTGATCAAATTTTCATAAATACAGGTCTAGCGGTTTCGGAGATCTGGTAAAAAAAATTACAAAAAATGACATTTGGCGGTCAAAAATGATCATTATACATATGCACATCAAATAATCAGATATTTTATAGAGATTTTAACAATAAGTATAAATTTTGTTTACATTCCTATGGGTCCCGTACCAATGTTTATCCGTTTGACGACGACGCGCTTTGATATTTGTTCTATGCAGTTAAAGCAGTATAACTTTAACTTATTGCTTTGAAAAAAAGTTAAGAATTTCCAAAATATTTCAAAATAAATTTTTCTTCAAAAAGTTTTTTTTGTTCAAAAAAAAGTAAATTTTTGTCAAAAATTTATAGGTTCTCAAAAATCTAGTTTTTTCAGAGTAATTTTTTTCAAAAATGTTAATCTTTTTAAAAAAAAAATAATTTTTGGTACGGGAAGTTCCAGCAATTTGCCTAAGCCACGATGCCATGCGCCCCACTAGTTTTAATTTATTATCTTCCCGTAGGGAAATCAATTTTAAATTTATTATATATTTAGTATATCGAAAATAATTTAGATTTTAATTTTAATTCCGGCTTAAGTTCTAAAGCTCACTAATATACTTTAAATAAATAATTTTAACTTTGTAATTCAGTTTATATAATTCTTATAAATATTCGACAATGTTACAGTACTTATAATAATCTCTTTGAAAAGGGAGAAGTTCCGGCAATTTGCCTTAAAGCATGATGCCATACAGCACTAGTTATTAAAACTGTTTTGATGTGTAAATGTAACCAATTTTGTATGGTTTCTAGATTTTATTTTAATTTATTAATTTTATGTTAATATTTGATCAATATTTGTTCGTGGTTTAATAATTACTCTTATACACACAGTTTATTCGCAGAGATCGATTTATAAAAGACCGCGAAATTTCAAATTTTTATTTTAATATATGTTGGTAATGACAATAATCATTTGTGGTGTAAATTATATAATTAATTGTTACGGTATTCAAAATTTTGTTTTTTACATTAGTGTTTTTCTAATAATAATATAATATAATTTTCTACTAATATTTTCGAATATGTAATTTTACTATTGTTAAGTCAGTATACTGTTAATAGATATTTAGTAATTTTTTCCAATGTGTACAAACAATCAATTTACTATTTTGTGTGAATCTATTATTGTGTATATCTATTATTAGCTATTCTTATTGCTAATTAATATATCTATGTTAAACAGTTTGATAATATATACATTTCTATATATATAATTTAATATACTTTTTCTGTTTTCCTCATATTTTTAAATCTATTTTCTATCTATGTTGGCGGGTTAACAATTAATCCAGTGGTTTCCAACCTTTCCGCGTCGCGCCCTTCTCTTTTTTTTATAAAAATGTTGCGCTCCCCTTAATTTTAAGTAATTCATTTTTATAAATATTTGATTGCTATTATAATTTCATTATCAGGCTACCAGTTATAATGAAATAATATGTAAAAATATAATTAAAATATTCCTGAAATAATTCCTGAAAAATCCGATTTGCTAATTTTATGGTTTCTCGACGTATCAAGTCATTCTGAATCGAATGAGACTAAATTTGGAAAAAGTTTATGTGTGTATGTGAGCCGATTTTTTAAGTTTCGTCAACTAGACCGATTGCAAAAATTTAAAAGCCATTCGATGTAACTTGATCAAGATAAGTGTTTATCGTTTTGTGCGACGATTGGCCAGGCCGTTTCTTTGCAAAACAATAAAATTTTTGTCAACGTTTATGTAGCCCAAATATAAATTTAAAAATTATAAATTATATAAATTAAATTAATTTGTTTACTACATTTATTGATATTTGATGTCTAAAGAATTTCGGATGTAAGTTTTGCTTTTATTATGTTATTATATCGTGAAGAAATATTTATTCATTAAAATCTTTTGATTTGTGAAAAACAATCAATTTTACGGTTGTTTGATTTTGTTTCGATTTATTATTTTTGTTAATATTTGGTCCATACATCTTCTATCCATAGATACATTGTAATATTTAAAAATCTAAATTTTAATATTATTGTGAAAAATATAAAATAACATTTATTTGTAATAATAATTATAAAAAAAATTTATTTAAATATTTGTAACATTTATAAAATATAAATTTTATTAACATTATTAAAAATATCACATTATTTACATAATTAATATAATATTTAATAAATATTTGTAATATTTATCATATATCTTGTTATTATAAATATTACATTTATAATAATAATATTTAATAAATATTGGTAATAATTTTTGAAGAAGATATTTGTTTTTGCGATAATATTCAATCTGCTAATTTTATGTTTTCTCGACATTTCAAGTCATTCTGAATCGTATGAGACCAAATTTGAGACAAGTATATGTGTGCGTTCGTATGTGGGCCAAATTTTTACCTTTCGTCAACGTTTACTCAAGAACTGTTTCTAAAATTTAAAAGCCATTCGATGTACTTTGATGAGTCTATCATTCTATCTATAGTCTATCTTTGTAATTAGTGGAAAAGTGTAATATTATTTGTCAACGTTTCAGCCCACAATTTTTAATTGGTTTTAAAAATTCAAAACCTGTTTGAAAAATATTAATTGATTCGTTTAAAAAAAATCGCGTTGATTAGAATTTGGTAAAGATCGTTTTGTAATTAAATATTGATATTTTTTTGTCGATTTTGATGAAACTTTATATAACGATAGATATAGTAGTCTGAAATATTGTACTAAAATATTATAGGCATACGAACAGCGATTAAATTATAAAAAATCATCAAAGCTTACAATTTCGCCGCGCGTTTAAGCGATTCTAATCAGAATCAATGCGGAAGTATCTGTATGATGTTTCGTAGGTAGCTACTGATTACAGTACACGTTCACACTTAATAAAATACACTTTTAGATTCCGAAATAGATTAAATGAAATATGGTAAACTAATTAATTAAATTTATACAATTACAGATATTATAATATAAGTATGTTTATAAGACATCAATTGGAAATCGAACTGATTACTTTTTTAGTGAAAACGAAAATGTTATTTTTGAAAGAATTATTTGAATGTTTTATCTAAATTGCTTAATCTCCATTCTTATCTATTATGTATATATATCGAGAATTTCATAAAGGCAAAATGCTACTTACAACTAGTTGGAATGATACTACGGTATATATTTATTTTATTTTCAAACATTACTGAATGCACACACATAACATATTACATGCATTGCTTACATCATATTGTAGATATAAATGTTGTTAATGGCAACAATAATTTTTGTGGTATAAATTATCTAAATAATGTTAAATTTTATTGTCTCCTTTATTATAAGATTTTTTTAATTGTGACAGCGTGACAAACATAACTAGTTATATTTTACTTTAAAGCAAGTTGTAATAACCAATTTAATCAATAGAAATGGATATTCATCTATTTAAGCAAAATTCAACAATTTATTTCGAGAATACGTTTAATGGCTTTCAAACTTCTAACATCTGTAATTGTACAAATTAAATTAATTTATTACATTTTATTTTTGTGTTTTAAAAATGTATTTTATTTAAGTGTCGACATCAACGGTAATCAGATGTTACATACGAAACACGGACCAGTATATGCTTGGTATAGATTCTGATCAGAATCGCATAAGCGCATGGAGCAATTCCAAACTTTGATGAATTTTTATAATTCAACCGTTTATCGTAGGCCTATAATATTTTAGTATATTATTTGAACGCCCAATATTTAAACGTAACTAAAATACATACATATATATTGTGATCCTTAACATGGTGGTCCTTAATATGGATATTTTCGATTTTTTTGTTTCCAGGGGCTCAAATGCTCCCAAAATGATAGAAAAAAATCCTCTGAAAGTTTTAACTCTTAATATTAACTTTTAAGATAGTCCGCATTCCAACCAAAGTTTCTTAACATGTGTAGAATTTCATTTGTTTTTTAGAATTTTATAACCTAGCGACAAGTGAATCAAAATTTTCAGAATAACCTTGAATTCCTAGACAATATTAGAATACGATGTGTTCATATGTGCTTGTATTTGCTAGTTTGATCATGAATCAAAAATTTACAACAAAAATTTGATATGTTTTATAAAATAAGTATTTACTTAGGAAGAAGAACCAAGAAACTTTGCTTGGAATGCGGGTTGTCTCAAAGTTAATATTGAGATCTAAAACTTTCAGAGATTTTTTTTTATATAATTTGCAAGCATTGGAGCCTCTGGGAGCTCGAAGAATTGGAAAATATCCATATTAAGGACCACCCTATTATATATATATATATATATATATATATATATATATATGATATTATAGTAACAAATTCCAAAATGATGAGTATTTCTAATCGATTTGGTATATTAGTGATTATATGGATTTATCGCACGGTACCTACGTTTTGTCGAGATTCTATTTTATAATTATTTAAATAAATCAATTATTACCTTAATGACTAAACAACACTGGTAAATAATTTTCAAATTTCATTATAATTTACCATTTTAGCATTTACAAACAAGAATCATTGGACACCAAAAAATGTTTTGGCGAGGATAATAACATTGATTTTTCGAATATGATGGACCATAAGAAAATGTCAGTAAACAAATGCGCCATGAAATCGCTAGATAGCTCGCAGAAAATACCTAGTACTATTTCAAATAATGAAATCAGCCAAGTTGAACCAAAGATGTTTGGAAATACCATAAATAAGAAGTGCCTTAGTAATGTTAAGTCAAATTGCTCTGCATTCAATACCAAAAAGAAACATTCATCCACTTCCAAAAAACCAAGTAAGTCTATTAATCAAAACAAAGAAAATCGAGTTCACAAAAATGCACGTCCTTCAAAGAAAGAACGATTAAGCAAAAAACTGAAGGAACTTTTTGGAGACGACCGGGAAGCTGTAAAACGCGATAAAACGGCGATACAAGAAATAAATACAGAATTTAAAAATGACGGTTTCAAAAAAGTTAGATCGAGACATAAGCGAAAGTCGGAAGAGTTTTTGAAATTTGGAAGCGTCAAAAAAAGTAAGAGTGATCCATCAGGGGAATCTATTATAAAAGCTCTAGCAGAGAATGAAAATATTATTTCAAATCAGGTAGTATTGCCTACAAATATCTTTGTCAAAAATGTGCGTGAAATAGATATTTTTAAAGATATTGATATTTTAAAGACGAATAATGACCTTGTACCCAACAAGAAAAAGAAAAATCAACGTAAGCGGGTTAAAAATAAGGAAAGGAATTTTCAGCAGAATATTAATAATAACAATAAAATTGGTCAGCTCACAGCACAAGACAAAACTCAAATTTTACCTAATCAACATTCTGAAGAAGCGAAGTCCGATCATGAGATGGATAATGCTAATTATAATACTAATGAAGCCAGTAAGTTTGATACCGATGCCATTCACATTTTAAATGTTTTCTCGGTCAGTCAAGGCGAGAATGTTGACACAAATAAAATGACAAATTTAGAAACTTCAGAACCAGCCAATTTAACGCAGCCTATAGGCCTGAGTATGCCGATTTTAGACGAAACAATAGAGGGGCAAATTAGCCAAAATTCACCATTACCAAAAATTGTAAATGCTTTTTCATTAAGTGAAGATAATAGTATTACATCGAATGAAGAACAAGAAACGACTTCTATTTCAAAATTGGATATAAACAGGAATGAAGAAATTACTATTGACGCCCTGGAAGGAAAGACTTCCTCTAATTTATCTAGTGACAAGAATAGTAGAAGTGAACCAAAGAGACCAGTAACAATAAATAATAAAAGCTTGCAGGAAAATTGTCGACAGATCTTGAACTATGCCAAAGAAATAATCAAAAAATCGTCTGATAAAGAAATTGTGGAGGAAAATAGTATTATGGATAAAGTCGCTTGCGATAATCTACCTGCAGATAACTTTAGTAAGGATTTACTTATTTCTACTAGTCAAACACAGAAATCTCACGGAGATGATCAAACTTCACTCATCAGCAGTGATATACAACAAACAATAAATGGAGACGTCCCAAAGATTATACCAAAGTTTAATATTACTATAGAGAGAAGTGATAATGAAACGGGTGAAAGTTCTGCTAATATAACAATATCATTTGCAGAAAGCCAAAATGAAAGAGATACAGGCGCCAATACTCCTAAGAAGAATGATTTGGAAAATAAAGTGGAAAATATGCCAGTGTCAGCTAGTTCCATAACGAATTTATCGGATCAAGAAACATCAATTTCTTCGAAGGTAAATTTAGATTTACAAGTTAAAAATACCTATGTGATACCACCGCAAGCAGCTGCTAAAATAATACCAGAATTATTCCAAAATAGTCCGCAAAGTAATCAGCAATTTTCGCCTGTAGATAAAAGTACAGCTGAACAATCTTCAGGCCAGGTAGAAACGAAAAATAATTATGACAATAAAGTTAAAAATATGCCAGTATTACTTAATTCCAAACCCAATGTATCGCTTAAATCGACGATTCCTTCGAAGGTTGATTCAGAATTACAAGTTAAAAATACCAGCGTGATACCGACGCATAATGCTGCTAAAATATTACCAAAACCGTTTCAAAATAATTCGCAAAATATATTATCCTCTGTAGACAAAAGTACAGCTGAGCAATCTCTGACAATTGTTCCAATATGTCAGTCGAACTCAACACAGGAAAATGACAAGATAACAGAATCTTCCAAAAAATTTGAAATACAAGAAAAATCATCTGAGCCGCCAACTTTCCCATTGCCAGCAAGTCAAAATAATTTAGTTTCGCTTCTTTGCCCTCCGAATATATTATCCTCTCTAGACAAAAGTACAGCTGAGCAATCTCTGACAATTGTTCCAATATGTCAGTCGAACTCAACACAGGAAAATGACAAGATAACAGAATCTTCCAAGCAATTTGAAATACAAGAAAAATCATCGGAGCCGTCAACTTTGCTATTGCCAGCAAGTCAAAATAATTTAGTTTCGCTTCTTTGCCCTCCGAATCCAATAACGATAACTCCATTAAATGACCAATACAAAATGATCAATTTACCAGTTTTTGTGAATGGAACGCAAATAATTCTACAGTCACCAACTGCTTTACAAAGTGAAACTTGTGAAAATTCATCTATCAACCCAGTTATTTCTTCACAGCCTTCCTCTAATTCTTGTGCTTTTGGATTAGTACAATCTGGAATTTCACAGGAGAAAATTGTGCTAACCAAACCTTCTGAGCGTTTAGTCAATATCGCTCCTGACAATACCCAACATAAACTACCTGACATACAAGTTAACGAAATTAGGCATTCTTCAGATTTACAAACAAGGATTTTCTCATCAAACAATCAGTTTATAAGATCTTCTGATTCTGTAATAGTGTATTCGAAACCATCCTTTAGTTTCCAAAATGGACAGGAACGTACTTTACCACAGACTTTCACCAAATGTACGATAGTTGAGCCAAGGACATCGAGCAGAATACACGAAAAAGCTTTTCCTCCTGCTATTATTTCAAATTCGGAGAATATTAATAAAGGATTCACAGCAAGTGCGTGCAAAACTCAATTTCAGCATTTATATCAGAACCGACATGACTTTAATATGATACGTCCTGAGTTTAATACTTCACCTCAAACTGCGACAAATATTTACGACAAGAATACTAATAGCGGTAGCGGCAACATGCCATCTGAACTTCCTGGTGATTTACCGTTAGCAGAGACATTGAATGGATCTGAAAATTTAATATCATCAAAGTTTGATGCAATGAATCGTGCGAATTCTTTAAAAGCAGCTTCAAATTTCTCATCGGATGTATCTCCAATGAATATAACTAATAGCTTATCATCTCCTGGACAATCGCATATTTCGAGTGCTATGTCTCGATCTGAAAACACATCGAATGAGACAAACGCGAGTTTTCCAAAAATTCGAGTTCGATCATTGGAAAGCATGAATTCACAAGAAGCCGCTGCCGATATAAACTTACCATCGTATAGAAATCGTCATCAAAACTCGATTAATGCCTCAATTGATGATGTCGATTTTCATATGTATAAAGATGCAATCTTTTTATGTTTTGCCGTAGACATTTCTAATGATATTTTTTGTGCAGTAAATAATTATAATAATAGACTATCGTTTATCAATGCTAATGGTATCGATAAATTTCGTTATAGAATTAGTTTATTGGATTACGATGTCTTAAGATTAACAAGAAGAAAACGTTTATTCAATGCTTTAAATTATTTGTCGAAAAAATACGCTTATTCGAATGTTACTATACTAAGAAACAAAACTGTTTTTAATAAAATATTAGACATAGCAAAAAAAATGTCTGAGGCGAGCGATATAATTAATCACATTGAATCCTTATGTCGAACTTTGTTCGTTGAATTATTAAACACGCTTATAAATTCAAAAAATAGTGAAAGTTGTGAACCAGATATTTCTACAATGCAGCTTTCACCGACTAATTCCTTCACTCCCTCGCAAGAAAATAAATTTCAAGAAATAACTGAAAATTCAAAAAAACAGAAAACCAAACCTAAAGGTAAACCTAAGAAACCTAGAAGGCCTAGTCTTCGGGTAAATGATTCAGATAATACAACTGATTTGTCGCATCCGAACCAGCCTCTTTCCCAAAACAAATCATCTTCGGATATTCAATTGTTGAATCAAAATAATGCATCGAAAGAATTACCACATACATGGTCGAGGACAACAAATACAGGAAATAAAGCAAACTTTCAAATGATGTTTGAACAATCTCTGAATGGCAGACGAAATTTGCAACAAACTTCAGCCACAATCGAAAAAGCAGTTACTAATAATACTCTACCAGTTGACAACAGAAATAACATTTTTCCAATGCCACGTATCAATTTCCAACAAACAGCCGAAAATGGTTCACTATTGAATCAATATATGGGGCCGAGTAATGTAACTAACGTTTGCTCAAACATAGCACCCGTAATATCGCAAAATAATTATTATAATAGACCATATGCTAATAATAGTTACCGCCCTGTCTCGTACTTGAATAATCCAATGCAATCTCAGCAGATACCATATTCTAGAGAACAAAGTAATTTGTTACAATGTAGTAATTTGGCTATGATACGGGCTCAAAATAATTGCAACAATATGAACAATTATAGACCATTTATGAACAGTTCCAATAATATGCACCAAGTTTCTTTTCAAAATTGTGCACCGACGACTAGTGCAACAGCAGGGGTATCCACCAATAATCAAAATAGTATTTGCAATAACCTTTATCAAAGAAATCAGAATCTGGGTTGTCGTTTCGGTCAAGGTGTTCCAAATTACAATAACGTGCAAATGATTTCAAATCCTTTCCAAAACTTGCCGAATATAAGTTCTATAATTGAAAATAGTTCTGCGCAAGACCCTACGCAAATGCCGTTTCAACCAGCTCCGGTCACCAACTATAGAATTGGCAATCCATCATTAAATTCTCAAACTTGTGGAGCACAAAATGCCTCCACTGTAAACATTGATTCAACACAAAATTTCTTAATAAATCGCCCTGCAGAAAATAGTGCTGTTGGAACTAATTCATCGTATGTAAACACTACGAATGGGTCCATGATGCAAAATAATCAACCTGAGCAAGATGCACCAAAGAATATTACAAATGATCATCCAGAAGTAGCAAAAACGATGGATAAACCATGTCAATCAGTTCATATGGTACATGAAAAGCCATGTTCCAAAGAAGAGCAAACAACTGAAATAGTCAGTTCTATTATTCACTCCTTTCCAACAAAAATAGTAGATGCACCATGTCAAGAAAATCAAGCGATCATAAATGCAGAGGCGATCTCGAGCACTCAGGTTGCGCCAATAACTACAACTACGCCTTTGGATTTACTTGAAGTCCAAAACGAGAAAGCACAATCACCTGATGCTATTAGTTCTAGTGATACCACAAGCTGTGCATCATTAGAAGATCTTACCATATATGGAATTCCTCATGAATTGGAAGTAATTAGAACTAAGGAAAATGGGGCGTATGATCCTGATAATGAAAATTGGGAGCGCTTAGCTAAACCACAAACACATGATAACTTGAATTCTCTGTTAAAGAAATTATTGAAGCAAGATCCTGCGCCTATGAATTCTCACCAGGATATTGAGGTAAGTCCATCAATTTTTTAATTATTTGGGAAAAATGTAATTGTTATTAATATTTGTGAATTTGTAGAAAGCTTCATCTGATGGAGATGATATTATAGATGGGCCACGGATAATTTATTGTACTATGTGTGACATGATGGCGAAAATCCAATGCACTATATGTAAAGCAGCATGTTACTGCTCAATCGCATGTCAAGTAAGTTTTCTTTTATTTTCAATTTTAAAACTTCATTTTTATATCCTAACAATTCATCAATATTTCAATTATCTTCAAGTGTTCCTGGAAATTCTTTGCATGACTAATAGTAATTGATCATTTTTTACTGCCGATTTACATGAAAACAATATTGATCTTAAACAAATGTTAAATAATTATTTATTCATTTTAGAAAAACCATTGGGCTTCTGGACATGCAGAGATTTGTGTAAAATTGACAAGAACTAGTCACAAAAAATGACAAGAAAAATTGTTTTTAGGTTTGTTAAAAAATGCGAATTATTTATGAAATGGTATTTGGAGTTTTTTTTATATATTTTAAAGATTTATTAAATGAAATTTCAAAGTTTGATTATATGTTAAAGTTTAAACAAATATGAAATATGTTTATAAAATGAAATAATTTATATTCATTTATTATTTAAATAATATGTAATCACACACACATATATATGAATAGGTATATATATATATATATATATATATATATATATATATATATATATATATATATATAATACACATGGTTATGATTTTATTCTTCTGACCTAAGAGCCTACGTTTTTCTTCAAAAAACTTTATTCTTCAGAAACTGTTAAAACAAAGAAAATATATTATTAATAAATTTGAATATTTTCACATTTACATTATTTTTAAGTAATTAAAAGTGGTAAAAATTATTTTCCTTTCTTTCTTAAAATTTGATTATAATTTTAATCTTTAAAAGGCGAAAGTGAATTCTTTTACCATTGATTAAAATTTTATTGTTTGGAGGCAAAACTAATTTCTTTTACCTTCGATTATAATTTCAGTATTTCAAAGGGTAAAAATTAATTCTTATCTTTGATTGGCATTTAAATATTTCAAAGGTAAAAAAATATTTCTTTTATCTTTGAGTAAAATTTTAATTTTTCAAAGGTAAAAAATGAATTCTTTTAACTTTGATTAGAGTTTTGATCTGCCAAAGGTAAAAAGTGAATTTATTTTGACCTTTATTAAAATTTAAATCTTCCAAAGATAAAAAATGTTTTTTTAGCCCTGATTAGAATTTTAATCTTTTAGTGGTAAAAAATTAATGATTTTACCTTTGATTATAGTTTTAATTTTTCAATGGGTATAAAGAGATATTTTTACCATTTTTTAAGGGTAGATAAGAAATGAATTTTTCTACTTTGCCTAAAATGTTAATTTTTCAAAAGTAAAACGTTCTTTTAACCTTGACTAGGATGTTGACTCGAGATTAAATTTTTCAAAAGTGTTTTTTTTTTAATTTATAAAATGTATATTATATATAAGAAAACAATTATAAGAGAATATTTAAATAAAATTAAGTCTTTAATTCAGAAAAATAACTGATGCTTCTTTAGTTAAGAAGAATAAAATCATAATTAATATTACTTATACAGAAAAAATATTATCTATCTAAACTATCTTTTTAATATGTTTTTATATAGAATTATGTATTATTATAATGTTTTTTATATAGAACTATGTATTTAGCTTTAATTGGAAAGTATTCATTTTAATTAACAATACTCAATATGAAATTAGAAGACTGACTTTCTGATCTACTTAATTTTGTTCTAATGTTTTTGTTAATAAAAATAATAAAATAATACATGTTTTATTAAACTATAAATCAAAATTTATTTGTATTATGATTTCTTTTTTCACTTTTAGCAGCAGAACAGAAACTTATCATTTTGTTTTTTTGAACTGAAGTATTTTATTGGCTTTCGGGTGTATTTACCAATTATTGTAAAATGGGGTTGTATATTACTCAAAACATTTCCTTAGGAGCCTGAATCACTGCTATCTGCATTTTCTAAGATTTTTCTTTTTGGATGGTAGATGGTAGACTTTTATATAATATTCGAGCATGTACAAGGCCTGACTGATTTTATCATGAGCTCCAACAATTGTCAGCCATCATGGGATGTCCCATCTTATTAGATATCGCTTCCCAAAGTTCTGATGTCTTGGTGGATACTTTCGCCCTGCTTTCTGAAATGAATTTATTTCATTGATATTTACCACACAGAAGAAACAACTGTTTTTTGATTGTGAGGTTTTTTCCTTAATGACAGAGGTTTTAAAATTATATCATTTCTTTTTTCTTCTCGATAATAACGTAAATATACTACGGAATTTTTTCATATAGTACGTAGAACAAAGTTCAAATTCCAATAAACTATATTAAACTATAATTTTTTTCCATTAATAATACATTGTTTTTAAAGTACAATATTTTTTTTCAAATTTTGGCGCTTAAATTTGAATGGCGAGTGATATGCGATTGAAGCGCCATTGCAATGTAGCGCCCGTAGCAATAATTAATTCTTTGAACCAAAATAGGACCGATCTGTCAGTTAAAATTAACCTATTCACGTTTATAATAATAAAACAATAGAGAATTATTTAGACATAAGAAATATATATTTAAAATATATGAATGTGTGATATTTATTGTATATATACATTTTATCATAACAAAATAATATATAATAAGCGGTATGTTATCTTTTGCAATAAATTGCATACGTCACATATTATTATCTTTTCTAAGCTTGCATTTCATGCTTATCAAAACTGTTTTTAAATAATGCTGTGTAATTACTTTAGGTTTCATTAAACAACAATATGTTGAAAGGAGTTATATTATAGGTGGTCCTCAGAAAGGTATGAACTATTATGATAAATATTTATAAAATTTTTAAATTTTGAATATCAACTACTATACATATAGTTTTTATTATATTCTTATTTGACACTCATGTTAATTGCATATATTTAGTATAACTTTGCTTCATTGTTCAAATTATTAATTTTCGGATTTAACAATAGTGTAATAGTTGTAAGAGTGTATTCTAGTAAACAATACAAAATCACACATTTTGTAACTTTCTAGTTTTTTTTCCACTGAATGATAGTATCGATGCAGATTA